AAATCGCATAGCGACAAAATCGCTTTGCAACGATTTTTGCTGCACGGATTAACGTCGCTATGCGAGGCACCACTGTATTATTATTTGTCCAGGTCAAAGAACAATTGACTTGACTTCTTGTATTTCCCTCTCCATCTTTTAGAATTCCAGACAGCCGAAAGTGCCACCGAGGCGCTTGCAGCCCTAGAAGAGCAGACCGCCCGAGGCAGCAAACTGCAGAGAGGCCATCACCGCTTGCAGCCCTAGAAGAGCAGACCGCCCGAGGCAGCAAACTGCAGAGCCGGCAGGCCATCACTTTGCCGTATCTCCATCGATGGACATCCTCTGTAAACCAAAATGGCAGCCTCCTTGCGGCTGCACCATCTCACCTTCACTCTCCCCTCCAGGTAAAACACGGCAAACCCTTTGCGGTGATGAGCTTTTCCATAGACTTTCCCCATTGCCTTCTAGATGCCATTGATTTGAGGAGGGGAACCTTCAGCCTTGCAGCTGCCTTGGACTTCTCCTCCCAGAATGTCCAGCCAACGTGGCCATTGCTAAAGGACTGTGGGAGTTCTCATCAAAAACAGGTAGAGGGCTGAGGATTCTCCACCTCTTTGGGAGAGACCTCCAGCTATACCACAGGAAAATAAGTATTTGAATAATTCAGTAAATATAACAAATAAACTAAAATATGTTACATTAGAAAAAAATGCAATAGTCAAATATTAGTAGCCATCCCTATAATAGAGAACAATCATTCATGAAAAGTTCAGGAGAATTCAGAGAACACAACCTATTGCTTAAAAGGCCAATAAATTTGGCACCCTATGAGTGGTTTGGATTCTGTTCACAGTTTTCTTTTTCATTGGTTTTTGTCTCTTTTTAATTGCAGCCTTCATGTCATTTCTACACAGGAGGAAGTTTTAAAGAAAGCAATGAAGGCATTTGATTGTAGAATCCGAAAGCTGTACCAGCGCCTGCCCAGTCATACCCTCTGTGTCGTTCTATTGCCAGGCAAAGACAGGTAAAAAAAAACCCATAGATTTGTTTATGGTTCCCCTTCCTTCCTTCCACCATTCCTTTCTACTGAAAGTTAACATTATCTTCTGAAAAAGAAAGAAGTATTGCCTAAACTTTGTGCACACAATACAAGGTTTTAATTTCTTTGCTTTTTTTACTTTGGGGTGGGAAAGCATTTAATATTCATGTCATTTTTACAGTCTGTGTTGAGGGTAGCTGGCAGAAAATAAGATTCAGAAACGTTTCACAAGTAAACACTCTAGTCCTCCAGAGTTCACAAGCAAGACCCCAGCTGGCCCATTTAGTCGTCAAGGAAGGCTGCTGACATGATCTGGAATTGACCTTCCTCTGACACATGGCTGTTCTAGGTCTTGTCCAGTTTGAGGAAACTACTAAAAGCTTTTCCAGTATTGATCAGGGAGAGATGCTCATGGAACAGAAAGAGGAAGCTACTTGTAATGAGGGATAATACAGTGGTGCCTCGCTAGACGATTGCCTCGTGGGACGAAAAACCCGCAAGACGATTGGTTTTTGCAGTCACTATGGTGCCTCGCAAGACGATTTTTCTACGATGCTCACTATGGTGCCTCGCAAGATGTTTTTTTCTACGATCGTGCTTCGCAAGACTTTGTTTTTTTGAGACCGATGATTTGCAAAACTTTTTTTTTTGAGACCGATGATTTGCAAAACTTTTTTTTTTGAGACCGATGCTTCATAAGACTTTTTTTTAGACTGATGCGTAGGGAACCTCACAAGACGACGATTTTCGTGGAACGAATTAAAATCGTCTTGTGAGACACCACTGTACGTCTAGGTCAAGGAGGTCTCTTATTAGCCTGTCCGCTCAAAAGGGAGAACCGTTGGAAGCTAGATGCTTATAGGGGGTTGTGTCGGGTGCCCACAAGTTGAACCCTAAACATCCAGACCTCTGCGGCCAAGGAAAGAAGCAGCCATTTGGACCTCTAACCTCAACCGTGTCATACTCATGGGTTGAAGGGGACAAGAAAAGTAATGTGCTATGGTTGTGTTCGTCTTCTAGCTTAGCACCACATAACACATGCTTCAGAAGAGGTAACTATTGAATAGAAAAGCAATCTTGCCTGACATCGTCCCGTCTCTCCCTTGCGCTTAAGGAGGAAGAATGGAAAGAGTAGAGCAGAAGCAGGGGAGAGTGTGTGTGTGAGAGAGAGAGAGAGAGCAGCGAGGAGAGTGGTTATGAAAGGGCTGTTGAGGAAAGACCTTTGAGGAACCTCTTCCAGCGAGAGTCCAAAGTCAAGTTTGGAGGAATCCTCGGCATTCCAGCAGTGGGTAGTGCCAGAGCCAAAGGGTAGGGCCAGGAGCATCAGCACATTTTAGTGCAGAGCTTTTCCTTCTAGTAACTCAGACTGAGAAGGTCTGTCTGTTTGTTTGTATGCTGGTGTCTGTAGCAAGCATGGGGAATACTGTCATTTGTCGCTTTATCGGTTTTCATAATGCTTTTCTCACCATCCTCTCCACTTTTCTTAAGGCTACTGCTGCAGCCTTCCTGACTTCTCAAAACCTATCATATACTCAATGTTATCTACACACACATTTTTCCTAACGCATGCCTTTTTACTTCCTAGTGGGAACGATCTTGCAAATTCATCCTCCCAAAGAAATAAGCAGCAAGTGGGGCAGTGGAGGGTTAGCGTGGGCTCTGAACTCTTTTGGCTTCAGCTGCAGAGAAGGGGTTTGGAAAAACATCTCCCACCCCCATCATCTCTTCTCAGTGCCCTTCCTCCAACCTACAACAGGATGCTTGGGGTCTTTCTAGTTGCCAGCGCAAAAACCCTGTCTTTTCCAGTCCTCCAGTTTGTTTGATGGGGCAGGGCCTTTTTTGGAGGGGGGGGCGGAAGGACAGACAGTATTAACATCAGCTCAGGTGTCTGGCATTTGTACTGGGACTGGTCCTAACCTACTCCTTTTCCAGATGCAGGCCATCCGCTCGGTGGTGGTGTTGGCTGCTCTTTGGGTTTTCTGTATCTTTTCTGCACAAGGGTTACCTGGCATTGGAATCCTGTTCTTTTTCAGGGGCTTAAAAGGAGCACCTCTAGACTACAGGGGATCACTTGCTTTGCTGGCCCAGCGAATTGCTACATCTTAGTTTGGTGGCAATAATTTTTTAAAAATATGCAATCGCAGTTGCTGGCTGTCCTTCAAACTCACCCCCCCCCCATTTGTTTTCAGTACCACGTTAACTTAATCAGCCACAGGGGAAGACTAGATGGAAAGATTAAGCCATGGCAGGCCTTTTTAAATTGGCTTTTCCTGCCCTTCCTTTGATCTTGCACCCTTGCTATCTGAAACTGTGTGAGTGTCTCTGTGTGCGCGCATGTGTGGGTGTTGCATCTGAGTAGTCATTTGGCCACAGATAAGCCTGAGGTTGTAGAGAGAGGAACTGATTCATTCCCATATTTTCCTGTTCTTTGTTAACAGTTGAGAGCACACCAGAAAGTGTTCTGTTACACCAGAGCACATACAACTGGGTTAAGGAGGGTAGATGTGTGTGTCCTTTGACCTCTCTGGTGCTATTTGCTCCTGTCCGCTTTCATTCATGCTAAATGGGGGCAGGGGAGTCAAAAGAAAAATACGTGGATGCAGGAGGGAAACCATCACGGCCGGCCACCGGACCTGGGCTTTGAGGTCAGCTCTCCCCAGGGAGCGGCACTCAGTCCCTTTGCATGAACCATAGACAGACATAAAATGATTGCTGCCCTGAACATTGCTCCAAGGCAAAAGGAAAGTGGTGCTCAGGATATTTGGTCCTTTGGTACCTTCTCCTTGTACCCATGTGACTCTTTTTTATCCAGATATACAGAGATAGGCTTTGCTCCTTAAAACACCAGGTTGTAATGACGGGAAAGATGGGGCTAAAAAAAACTTCCCTTCACAGGCTGGATTTGTATACCACTCTGACATACCCATCCACCCACCAGTCACTGAACTCAGACGCTCTTAAGTGTTGCAGGCCTTCCTCATAAGGGAGGTCTTTCAGCCCCCCCCCATCACTCAAAATGCTCATTTTCCCACCCATTTTAAGAACCCAAGCTAGACAGCCACAAGTTCCAGGTTGCCTAAGTGTAGAATATCTTTGTTCATTGGATTATACTCATAGTTCTTAGTTTTAAATATTGTATTTTAATTATGTTAACCACCATTTTTGTCAACTTTAAATATTGTCTTTTAATATTGTAGGTCTCCTTGGGTCCTTTTCAAGGAGAAAGGCAGGGTAAAATTATTTAAACAAATAAATAGATTAAAGCCTCCTTGGTTTTCAGATCCATAGGGTATTGCAGACGAAGCAAAGGCCACAAGACAAAATAAAGCAGTGGGCAAGAGGGGAGACCTAGGCTATAATAAAGCCGTGTCTCTTCTTTTCACTGCAAAATGTTTAAAAGTATAATCAAACATGAACCTGTTGACATGAATCGTGTTGGATTTCCTGCAGCACAAATCTAAAATCACATAACCTGTGCACACAATCATTCCAATTGTACATATAGGCATACCCTGACGGCACAAAAAAAGTACAAAAATGTGGATACCACTTGTTCAGTACAAGAGGAACACTGTATCCACAGGGGATTGGATCTAAGCTCCCTGAGTATGCTAAAAAAGGTGGATATATCAAACGCTATGCATTGCATGGTCTCTGGATCCCTCGATTGGCCAGTTCTGGGAAATACACCCTGGAAATACATATAAATAGGTATTTCAGGGGTGGGCAAGTATTATTTAATATTTTCAGCCAGCAGATAAGTGAATCAGTGAGTCCTGTATTTCACAAAAGGATTCAAGCCATTTTAAGTGTTCATAATACTTCACTTTGTTCAGCTGCTAAGCTGTAAAAATATATTTAAAAATACTTAAGAGTCATAGTGTTTACTTGCAAGCAAATAAGTAAAGTAAAAAAGCATTCCTGTTTCCTACCTTACAGGCTTTCCGAATCTATCCCTGGTTTTGGACTGCTGGGAATCAAAGGAGAAAACCAACTTGCCATCTCTAGCTAGCATCTGTGGTTGTGATTTTCATTGAAGCTTGCAGCCAGGACACCAGCAGTCTAAACGGCCTCCGCCCCATCACAATGTATATAAGTTTTTTTAAAAAAAATCATATTGAATATAAAGCCATTTCAAGAAGTTGAGTTGGTGTTCAAAATACTAAGCTGTTTCTTCTCACATTCTTTGCTGGCTGCCAGACTAAATGCTGTTTGGGACATTTGAAGTTGAACAATAACGTCCACGACGACAGGAATCTGAGAATGGCAGAACTGGAAGGGATCTTTTGGATCATCGAGTCCAGCTCCTGTCAAGGAGACACAGTGGGAACTGAACTCCCAACCTTTGGCTCCACAGCCGGAGGCCTGAACTAATAATAGCTCAACATTATCAGCCACACACATTTTTGGATGGTAGAATTCTAGGGGGGTAAGAGATTTTGCAAAGTATTTTCTGAAGCTGGCGGATGGAGTGAAAAAAAGTGGGGAGGGGAGGGACACACACCCAAAAATACCTCAGCAAATGGGTCTTAGAAGTTTTCTGCTCAGTATACACTGAATAAAATTTACCAGCCGACGAAGAAAGCAGTGGGCTGAAAGAGCAGGAGGTCAAGCCAGTTGCTTTTCTCGGCAGCATTAAAATTGGAAACAGTTGAATCTACAATTCTCAGCTCTGTTTAGGGTTGGTAAATGGAGGAGGAAGACGGTTTATTGAAGACAATGAAGTGTGGTTTTTTAAATAGTCAAAATATATATTAAAATATTTTCTGTGTGTGTGTGGGAGAGAGAGAGAGAGAAAAAGGGAGACTTCAAAATGTTTTTGGGTTCAGAGTGCTCCACTTAAGCTGCGCGTCCCTCCCTTACAAAAGGTGTATTGTAGGGAACAAGGTTTACACGCCACTCTTTTCTGTTAGGCCCCATAATTAAACTTTTCATAGATGTTTGTCGCATTCTTCACGCACACAGAGCAGGCCTGCAGGAAGTAGCACACTTCAGAGAAAAACATTTAACGTTGCCCTGGGGAAAATGGAATCTGTGAATCACACATCTTGGTCCTTTTCCATCGGCTTCGTAGAAAAGGAAAAGCTTCAGTCCACAGTGTGGCGGAGAATTACGGAAGATGGGAGAGGGGGGGGAAAGCACCATTACTAAGGCAGGAGCTTTTTAAAGATTGGAGGCAATGTAAAGATGGAAGCAATACGAATTCCACCCCAACCTGGTTAAGAAAAATCTTAGCACAAAGGTACCCCTCCTTCCACAAAAAATGAAATTTTGATGGAGGGGTTTAAGTGGAAATTGAGACCAGGAGCAATAAAAACTGCTGTGGCACTGTGGTTAGTGTCAACCTGCAACTTAGGAGACCCAGGTGTTAATCCCTGTTTGGTCATGAGAGGTTCCCTAACGATCTTGGGCCACCCACCATCTCGGCTTGCTCTGCTTCTTGGGGTTGTTGTGAGATAAACGTCGGAGGGAGAGGGCCTTATATGCTTGCAATAAGCTAAAAGAGAGGGGGAGATGATATAAGCGTAGCACACACACGATCCTGGCTCTACACATTAGGGAAGTAGGGAGTCGGAGAATGCTACCTTCCATTTAGATTTATTTTCAGATCTGAAAATAACATATGCCACTTATGACCTCTCTGGATGAAAAATAGAAATGTCATTGCCCATGAAGTTGGCATTACACTCAGCTGCAAATAAAACATTCGTTACAGGGGCCTGAGAAGGAGCTGGCCGTCCCACCTCTAAAATGGTGGCCTGTTTCTGCATTCATTGGCCAGTCCTGGCCCACAACACTGTGCCATCGGAGGCCAAGGAAAGAGTACACCTTGTCTGCTTGTGGAAGCTAAGCGAGCCAAAACCCTGTTAACCTGTAGATGGAAGCACACCAAAGATGTGCCAGTCATGTGAGGGAAGGCTCTGGCCTTAAGCCATCCCAAGCCATGGTCACTTCAAGTGGACCATTACTGGGCTTAATTGCCTAATTCAGTCTGAAGTGCCCCCCACATCCCTATGCCTGCCCTCACCCAAAATGTCACACCATGGCTGAAATCCAGTAGTAAGCCTCAACTAGAGTTGGCCCCTCAAACCAGTGGACCTTACAGAAGAGTTGACTCCCCAAATCCCTATTGATTCAGTGGCCTGTTCTAGTTGTGACTTCCTACTGGATTTTAACCCAAGAACTGGCCATTGAATGTGACGTGGCCATGGGGCAGGTAAATCGTCAGACCCGAAGGCAGTGGGGGGTTAGGGGTTGCAGAACAGGCCACGGAGCACAGAAACCGCTCTGCCTTTCCACCATGAGGGAATGTCCAGAGAACAAACTCCAAAGAAAAGGATGGGAAGGCTTGTTGCCCCACACACACTTCTGCTGCCTGAGGCAATTGCCTAAATTTGCCCAAGGAGAAGGCCGGCCCTGGCTTTGCCCCTCTTTCTTTGCTTGTGCAACCTCCTCGTACACCTCAAGGAAGAAGGGCGAATCGTCGCCGAACCTCTCGTAAATGCTTGAAGGAATCAAGCCCTCCTGCCTTGTTTCTTCAGCGATGAGAAGGGCAGGCGGGGAGGGGGGAGCTGAGTCACCCACCATTTCAGTGGGGCCTCACCAGAAATGTCTTTATAAACCGCTAAACACAAGACAGGTACATTTCGCATTTTCTTGCAGGTGAGAAAACTCTCAGCAGGGGAGGCTTTTCTCACCTATCTGTCCAAGGACACAACAAGCTTTGCCTGTTGCTGTTACCTCAGTAACGCTTAGTAAGGGCCCAGCAGTCTGCTCTCCCCAAAACTCGATACATTCTGGATGAAGAAAACTTCAATTGCCTTCAACAGTGAAAGGCAAAACAAATCTAACTTCAAAAATGTCAGACAGAGTTGACTGTGGATCAAGTAGGGAATCAATTGGTTAAAATCTAAAACACTGGTCAAACCAAGTATTTTTTTAATGAAAAACTGACTAACAAAATTTTCCCTAGGCATTTGCACTCGCTAGACAACACAGCAGAAGAAAAGAAGAGCTTTATTTTTTGCCAGGGTGTCAGATTGAATATCCTCTGGAAACCTTTACTTGATATAGATTATTTTAAATATATATATATTGTTGTGTTGCATGTATTTGGTTTTTTTTTGGTTTCCAAACAACAGTAAGGAAATCCGCGTTCTCGTTCCAAATCATGTGGCCAGTAGACGAGAACGACAGGAGAGCGTAGCAACATCTGGAGAACTTTAAACTGAAGATTAAAATGCAAGGAAATGATCTGCGGTTTTCCTGAGGGGCTTCACTGTCGTATAGTCCCCACCACAACCACCCTCATCCATGTCATCCATTTCATATTCCTGCTACTAAGAGAGGGGCTAAGAAAACCAGCTCTCTATTTCTGGAAGCGGCCAAGACAAACCCAAACCACCATTTTCTAGCAACACAGGCAAACACACAATCCAGCCATTTTGTTTTTTTCCCCTCAAGAAGCATCTTCTGCACAATGATACTTAATTCTGTTATGCTTCCACAAAGCATTGTGTTTTTTTGGGGGGTTGTTTGTTTGTTTTTTGCATTGGTGACCATCACCAGCTGCTGAACTGCATATCCCGAAAACAAGCAAATTCATTGAAGAAAAACACAGCAGAGTTTTGCCTTGTTTTTCTTTTTCTAACAGAAACCAAACCAATAGCTGTCAATTGCTTTGCTGTAAGGAAACCACAAGGTCCTTGTACTAAAAGTTGAGAAAAATCACAGAAGCTGGAAGTTATTTCCTTGACTTTCTGCCTCCTCCAAGGTCTTGCTAGAGGATTGCGTGACTTTTCTTTAGAAAACAGGAACTTTTAAGAATTCACCGTTTACAGCTATTTCCATGTTGTAGTCTTGAAATATTAAGTACCATACGTCAAGTCCTATAAATGCTGACACTGGATTCCCACAGGTATAACCAGCCTTTAACCTAGAATTCTGGAGCTACTTGGACTCCCAGGCTTTCTCTGCAGATATAATTACCCTTTCCTATTTGAAAAAAAAAAACAGTAACAACCCACAAATAGGTTTTTTACTTATGCAGATATAGCATGAGATTCCAAAATTATCATGGTATAATAAGACTTCTTGGTCCCTTAAACTGGGCAATACTTTGCTAGAGATTTCTGAAAGGTCCTAACAAGTGAATGGCTTTTCCATTAGCTGACTGAAACAAACTATTTATTTATTAGATTTCTATTTCTATTAACAATCCCGCAAGCAAAAGTATATTTTTTCAGAGTGCAGTGGGGTGAGAATCTCCACGAATTAATTGTAAAGAATTCTCCTTAGATAAGGTCATGTTACAGTACAGTATATGTAAAGCACATTGGTGTATTAAGGTGGATCGGTAGATGAAAAAATGTGTTGGAATTTTATTTTCAACCTCTCATGCTGTCAGTCATTTGAGCAACGGTTCCCTCCAGCCTTTGAATTCAAAATTCTCTGCTGAGTGTTCTTTTCATTTTCTCTAGTCTGTTCGTAGTCATTGCTTTTGATCTGTTCCGTTGGTTGCTAATGAGTGCAGTAAAGAAAGCATCAGAAGACTGCATTTTACAAGCAACTGTAAGTAAAGATATGTTTTTGATTCTTTCCCTGACAAAAATCTCAGAGTGAGTTACTAAGACTTTAAGTGCCAGTTACTTAGGAAGGGGTGGAATCTGTGGAACATTATCCACTATTCTGCTCTGTGAGTTTCTACTGTGTAGCAAAGCAGAATTTTGCACAGAAATTCAAAACTCTGGAAAAAAATAGAGGCAGAACAGTGGAGTTGTTAGGTTAGTCAAACTAAAACAGCACCCACTTTCAGCTTCCAAAGAAAAAACAACCCACCCAACCTTTAGATAGAGTGAGGCAATCGCCTTAGGCAGTAGATTCCCCACCCCCTTCTCTTTAATTTAAAAAATTGTTCAGGGGATTTTTGGAATAGCTTGTTGTTTAGTTGTTAAATGCTGTCTGACTCTTCATGACCCCATGGACCAGAGCACGCCAGGCCCTCCTGTCTTCCACTGCCTCCCAGAGTTTGGTCAAAGTCATGTTGGTCGCTTCGATGACACTGACCAATTATCTCATCCTCTGCTGATCTCTTTGCCGTCCA